TATATAAATGACCACACAAAAACCCACTATTTAGAGCCGCTAAAGAGAAATTAAACCAAAAAAGATAATAACTGAAAAGACGAACGATGATTTTGAGCCACATAATTAAATTGTGGTCATATCCTTTTTGAAGAGATTAGACTCGTTTTTGTTCGTTTTTCGGCTAAAGGAAGCCCAATAGAATTCAAGAGTATGTTGCAAACATTTAAGGCGTTAGTCTGACTTGGGACAAACTTTACGTTCAATGGGAGAGATTTGAAATTTGGAAAACGTTTCATTTAAATATTATCTCGAATCCTAAAAGTATTTTTCATAACACACTGAAAATAAAAGAAAAATTACATTTTTTTTAAAAATAAATTGATGGATCCCAGATAATATACATTTTGCGTGCCACATAAAATAAATAACCCGTTTATCAAATCGTGAATGAAAGGAGCAAGCCCATGCATGCACCCATTCATTATTTGGAAAGCTTTGAAACGAATCAATATCTTTTCACGTGATTACGCCAATATTCCAGCAGTGCCAAGAGAGCGCAGCCCAGCCCAGCCAAACGTGTAGATACATTTTTTTTTAAATAACATGTGAGACGCAAAAGTTTTTCTTTTTTCCATATCATTTACTCAACCGATATGATTATAATTTAATTTATCCCCCCAAAAAGAGTAAGATTATTTTCGTCATTATATAGCCTACTAAAAATAAACTAATGAACTCTAATTCATTTAAGTAAATAATAAAACAGAATAAGGAAGCTAGGGCCGGGATAAAACATTAAAACATAATGGCGGTACAGCTTGAATGATATAATAGCATAGAATTATATATTTCTTTTTGAGTATCATCTAGCATATAAAACGTGTTATGATTGGTGGACATAGTGTTTAATATAGCTTTCTTTTGATTACATTAATCATATGTGGTGCTAATTGCTTTATTAAAACGGGACAATCTTATCTCCAAAACCCAGTTAATTATTCGCGGAACATAATATTCTTCTTATTATTTATTTTCTTATTGTTTATGATGAGAATATTGCTGGCAGGGTAATGATTTCATTGCAAATCCAATGATTAAACAGTGTTCACCAAACGCCTTGTCCCAGCCCAGCCTTTTCTCTTTCCGCATTATGATTGTCATTTCTCAACCTCTAATCAACCCTTTATCCTTTTTTAATCTTTTCACAAAAATAGAATATATGAAAAAAAATCCTCACTCCGTAAATAACAAAAAGGAAAACAAAGTTGGCCTAAAGGTGGAAAGATCGCGAAGGAAAAGGCTCTTAGATTCAAAGGTAGAACAAAATCTTCAAATAATATAATAATTAATTTAATTTGTGTACACATATATATACAAATGTGTATAGGTGACTGTATTGAATAATTTGACCGTTGTGCAGTACAAAGCATACCTAGGACTGTATCCCTACCGTGAGGATTCTAGAAATTTCGAGGACGATGACCACGTCGTCTTGTATCCGTTACGACAAACGGAAAAAAGAAAAAAAAACCGTTACAGTGGAAACAACGGGTCCCGCGTGCAGAAGTGGGACCCACAGGGCAACGTTCACGGCGGAACCGCCAAGTCGTTTCAGGCCATAACTTTTTGTTGTGCAGAATGGCGTGTTTTGTTGCCTTTTTCTTCTTCTCCTCGCGAAAGAATAAAAAAAACGTGTTGTGGCTGTGGGTCCACCACGTGTCACCAAGCTGTATCATATGGGCAGTTCCTTGAGGTTCGCGTTTTCAAAAGGGATATATAGCTATCTGTAACGACCAATAAGAAGCCGACACGTGTGTACGGCCTCATTAACTCTCAGTTGATACTGGGTGAGTTCGGGTCCTTTAACCCCGTGCCGCACACGTTTCTTTAATTTGGAGCAGAATGATGACTCCTCAGTCCTCAGTAGAGAAGACCAATATCCATACCATACTCTACAGTAATCATTTTATTTGTTGTTTCTCTATTTTTCACTTTAAACTTTCATAATTTCATTTTATTTATTTTATCATTTAATATTTATTTTTTATGTCATAAAAATATTAATTAGCGAGTTTTCTGATTAGACAGACTCGTGCAACTTTATTAGCGTGTAATTATCAGAAGGAATTCAAATTGTAGTGTCCAAACCACTTTGCATTGAAGCCACGCCCCGCTCATACAATTGCAAACTTACCTTTTGGACCTCAATTTTTTATATTTATTTTCGTATGAAATTTTTTAATATTTTCTTATCTTTATTACGAAGTTAATATTTTACAAAATATATAAAATAAATATAATAAAGCGAAACTAATTTTTTTAATTAAAATTATTAATGGCTTAATATATATTTAGGTATGCAATTTAAATAAATACTTATTTCATAACATTTTATCATATAAAAATTTATATCATAAATTAATTATAGAAATTATTTAATAAATTGTGTCATAAAAATATAATATTTATTGTTAAGCATAAGGACATTACCTTATTATTCCTTAGGATACATATATAATATTGTCATTAATATTTTTCTGTCAACATTTGTATTTATTATTTTGACTAAATTTTAAAATATATGTATAATGCATTTAGTAGTCCGAGCGAAAAATAGTCCAAACCCCTTGAAGCACGTAGTCTTGATTCAATTATGAAATTCGCGTCATTTGAAAGAAAAAGCTGTCAGAAGAAATGTTCACTTTATTAATCTTTTATATACCAAATATGAAATACTTTCAAAATAAAGAAGTCAAAGTTTTTCTTGCCATGCTTTTTAATTTTTTAAAAACTGTGAATTAATCCTTGTAATTTTTTTTTAACTTTAATGCAATTTCACTATTTGTTTATATATTAGTAATAGTTTCTTCCTTAAGATTATGCAGCCATCCCATTTTCATCCAAATTGAATCCACGTGTTGTGTTCCTTAGCGACAACAATACGGAATAAAATTGGTGATAACTCAGCATCTCCCTTATCGCGTTACTTATAATGTATGGGAAAAAAAACTTAGAAGTTAAAAAATGGCAATTCTCTTTTTTTTCAATCCATCACAACCTGAGGCATTTTCTGCTTTCCTTCAACGATGATGAGATAGGGATACATTATATTCATACATTAGTCCAAGAATGCCTCCAATAGAGTGATCATAATTCCCCCATCAAGTTCACACTCAATCCATTAAAGTTAAACTTGTTTAATTTATAAATATTTGAAAAATAACATCTAATAATACACTCCTACTACTTTAATTAGTTTGGCAAGACTTCCGCAACGTATATAGATCCACGATAAGTTCTTTTACGTTTTACGAAGAATTTTCTTCATCCATAAGTCAACCAATAATTAAATTAAATCTGTGTTTGATGTTTATTACGCGGGGTAGCTATATGGCTATATATGCAAACATCATGGGAGTGTTTTGTTTTTCTTTTTACGATACAAACATCATAGGAGTTAGTTTTGGTGGTAAGAAAAACTAATTTCTAGAAGGACTAGGGTATTAGTTAGATAATTGAAATATTTTTTTTATAAACATTTTACATTAATAATGTTTTCCGTAAAAATATTTTATTTTAACTCCTTTTGGTATTTACTAGTATTTATTTTTAATATTTATATGAAAAATCCATCATGACATATGCAGCAGTGTTTATTTATAAATATATTGTTTATTATTAAATATATATTATGTTTTCCTTGTAAAAAATATAATAGAACTAGATTTTTAATTTTTAAGTGATGTTAACTCAAAATTTACTTCATGATTAAAATTATATTAAAAAGTTGTATACAAGTGTGAATTGCTGGTATTCTTCTTAAAGCAAATTCTTCTTAACGATTGATTACTAATAAATGCAATTAATGAGAAGAGTAGTTCATGTCAAGGCATCGGTCAAAATTTGCAGAAAAGTCTCATGCTAGACTTAACAGTTTTACTACATAAAATGAAACAATTTTTGGTTTTACGATAATTGATATCTAAAAAAAAATTAGTTTCAATTAATAAGATCCTTTGGCGTCAAAAACAAATACAACAAATACTATTGTTAAAGAAGGTATATCAATCTAGTCATTTTTCCTTTAACGGGAAAAAAAAAAGTTCCTTAATTCACAACCCTTTGTTTTCTTTACTTCAAGTCTTTTCCCTGAACATCTTGAGAAGCAAAAGGGACAAGTTTAAACTCCTTTTAGTATGATCTCTCGAACAGGAAAATAATACCACGAATTTTGTTTATTCGTTCTGTGATTTAGAAAGCAATAACCGAGAAGAAACACAGTTTAAAAACCCAGATATATCAGTCAGTAATTTCTCTAAACTAATTCCAAGTTCCAAACGCGGAAGGTTTATTACAGTTTTTCTATAATATATTGAAGTGTAAGTAATTAGAAAATATATTTCCATGTATAAACTCAAAGGATTAAAAACAATATATATACAAAGAAAGGCTAGTCTTAATCATAAAAACATATACAGTATCTCCACATTCCGAGAGTTAGTGTAAAAGAAGTATATATTTTTCTGTTCAAAGTTCCATCTAATTAACTTCTACACATTTCCAGCAAAGGCATCAGGAATAATAAAACCTCGGGATAAAAAGATTGAAGAGGTAGAATAATGTGCAACTTGTAGAAGTCTGAAGAAAGTTTGAAAACTAAACCCGTGATTACTAGCCAACAGCCAACTACTCTACTCATGTAGATTCTGAAGAAGCAAAAAATGACAAAAACAAGAGAAATAAAAATAAAATGAAAAATGAAAAGGAAGGGAGTGGGGAGGTGGTGGTGTGGCAAAGTGAGGTGGGGAGGGTCGGTGAAAGCCAAAACCAAACCAAACCCATTTTTTATTGTATTTTTAATTTGTTCTATTCGATGTTTCTCAGTGCCAAATTGCACATATTATCACATTTAACAATAAAACAAAAAAAAATTATATATAGAGAGTAAAAAAAGAAAAAAGAAAAAAGAAAAAAAAAAGCTCTAATCATGAGTCAGCACCAGCATATATACCCCATCTCCTCTCAGTCCCTCCCACTCTTACCCATCACCTTCCTCACCCCAAAGCTTCTTCCTTTCTTTGCTCTTTGCCTTCTCTGACACATTTGGATCCTCGTCGAGCGTGTTGTGGGAAAAGGGTAGTAGTATCCTATGGCGAAGGACGTTGAGGTTGCTGAGCGTGGCTCTTTCGCTGGCAAAGACTACCATGACCCTCCTCCTACACCCCTCATTGATGCGGAGGAACTCACCAAGTGGTCCTTTTACAGGGCACTCATTGCTGAGTTCATTGCAACTTTGCTCTTCCTTTACATTACTGTGCTCACGGTCATTGGGTACAAGCACCAGAGTGATGTCAGTGATAAGGGTGATGTTTGTGGTGGGGTTGGCATTCTTGGAATTGCATGGGCCTTTGGTGGCATGATCTTCATCCTTGTTTACTGCACTGCTGGCATTTCAGGTTCCTTTTCTCTCTTCCTGTCTTCAGATCCATTTGCTTCCACGGCTAAACAAAGAACCATCATTGTTTACTTAGTTGTTTTTGTTGCATGTGTTGCAAAATTTTCGTTTTTTCTTATTGCAGTTTCTAAGTTACTGTGTTGGGTGTCTGAAAAAATGTATACTTGAAGAGGGCTTCTTTGTTGAATTTTGTATTTGATTTTAAGTTTAAGTTCTTTTAGCTTCCAAACAAGAAACTTGCACCGTTTGAGCACCACTTTCCCGCGAATGTTTCTGACATGATATTAAGCAATGTTTCTCTAATTCAAAAGGAATCATTGCTTGCTTTCCCCCCTTTTCATTGAAGTTTATCAGTCTTCAAACAGAAGGGTTGCTGTTTTAGGACTTTGTTTTCTTTGGTGGGAAAGCACAGTCACATGAATTGTTTGTTCAGAGTTACTATGGAAGCTTTTTGCCCTCATTCCTTATCTATGAAAATTTATGATGTTGCAGGGGGTCACATTAACCCAGCAGTGACGTTTGGACTGTTCTTGGCTCGCAAGGTGTCTTTGATCCGAGCCATCATGTACATGGTGGCTCAGTGCTTGGGAGCTATCTGTGGAGTTGGGTTGGTGAAGGCCTTCCAAAAGTCTTACTACAACAGGTATGGTGGTGGGGCCAATTCGCTCGCTGATGGCTACAGCACAGGCACTGGATTGGGTGCTGAGATCATTGGCACCTTTGTTTTGGTGTACACTGTGTTCTCTGCTACTGACCCCAAGAGGAATGCTAGAGATTCCCATGTGCCGGTGAGTTATAAATTAATCATTTATCCTGATATTAGTTTCTGTTGTGTTTATGTGGCCTTGTTTTAAATTGGTGTATGAACTGTGCATAATGACGACGATGTTGCTGCCTTAGTTGCGTTTAAAATACTGGTTGAATGGAAAAATAGTTTATGACTCTGGTGGAACCATTAGGGAGAGAGAAGAGTATTATGAAGGTTCTCAATTGACAAGTTTGATCTGGTTTAGTCCTTTGGTTAAACATTGATTCCTTCATAGTTTTGTTGTTTATAAAATATGGTAAATAGTTTTCATCACATTGATCTCGAATTGCCTCTTGGTAAAAGAAGAAAGAGAAAACCGTGCTTCAATAATAGACATATATACGAGATAGGGTTCAATACTATTGATTTGTTTTCCCCCACTTTTATTCCCTGGCTTCTTCTAGTCAACTTCTTTGAGGTTAGTTTTCCGAATACGAAAGTGTCATAATTAATTTCTCAGTGGATGGTACATATTTGATTTGTCTAGGCATCCTAGGGTGGTGAAGCTATCTCTTACCTTCACCATAATTTCCAAACGAAATGATGGTATTAATGAAGTATAACAGTAGCGTGCAATTGTGGAATATGGGTCCCCTTTGCCTTGTATATAAGTTTGTGGTGGTGGTTGAATTTCATGCCCAACACATGATTATTTGGTTAGATAGTTTCTTCCCAATTTTGAGAAAAGTAGATTCTACTTTGTTTCTTGAAAGCTAACCGAATCCATGTTAATAGATGGCAAAGGACTTGAGAGTGTCTCGAGTTTAAGATTAAAGTGTTCATGATTGTGCCCGTGATGCTTGTGTCATTTTCTTAAAGCTGGCAATTCTAGTGGGAATCTCCAGCTTCATACCGATTTGTCGAATTATCAGTTTGGGGTCCTGTATTAACCTTCAAGTACCTATATTTAACATATTATTCTAATTAATAAAGAAAAAATATGGGCTTCACATGTATGCATGCCCCATCTGTCCCAACTCAAATGTCTATGGTTTTGTCACATCCTATTTCTTTTTCTAATAATTTGGATTCATGTGTTTGGAATAACTTTCCATCTACAGTATCTACTTTAATTCAACCACATCACTTTCTTATTATGCTTTATGCTGTATTTGAAGGTTTTGGCTCCACTTCCCATTGGATTTGCTGTGTTCATGGTTCACTTGGCCACCATCCCAGTCACCGGCACTGGCATTAACCCTGCTAGGAGTCTTGGAGCTGCTGTTATCTATAACCAAGATAAGCCCTGGGATGACCAGGTGAGTTATTATATCCTTTTCAGGTTGGTTAACTTATTGTTAGTGTTGTTAGTATTATGTAAATTTATAACTGGCTCTATCACATTGCTAAATTAAGGAAAGATTATGATATGAAAAAATATGGTAGCTTTATCTGATATGTTGTTCCATTTTTGTCTGTTCAGTGGATCTTTTGGGTAGGACCATTTGTTGGGGCAGCCATTGCAGCATTCTACCACCAATTCATCTTAAGGGCAGGTGCAGCTAAGGCTCTTGGTTCATTCAGGAGTAACCCTAATGTTTGAGTTATCTTCTTCCTCTTCATGATGGCTTTAGTGGAAAGAAGATAATTGATTGAAGAGATGGAGTTGATATTGCAAGTATAATAATGGGAAGTGCTTTTGGCTTTTGTATTTGCAACGTTTTTTCTTTGACCCTCTCAATTACATCTTCAAGATTGTGGATAAGTGTAGATTAAAGTCTCTTTCATGACAGGGGGAGCCTTTTGCACTTTCCTCTGTATCCTTTTAGTGTGTCACCTTTCTTTCAAGTTATTCTCTTCTGTCATCTTTGTACTCATATATTTATGGAAATATATTTTAAATTTTAAATTATGTATTCGTGCATTGAGCAATAACACACTCCAAAATCCAGCAATGCGAGGGACCTAGGACAAATGTTAATCAAATTTAAACACTGTTAATCCAAAATTCCGCACACTGGTTAACATTGTTTAAGCAAAAATATACATGACAAATGTCCTATTAACAATTGGCGACACATACCTTGATTAGCTCTCAAATTACACATTTAACTAACTCTAATCTCGAAAAGTGCTTCTCTTAATGTCTTATTAATAATCAAACCCATAATTTAAGCCACGTTTATCCAACATAACCTATGACAGAAAAAATTAAATCCAACAAAACCTAGTATATTGTTTCATAGTGGCAAGTGTGTTGCTTCCTGAAAAGTAAGAACACTACATGCGTGGTCTAGTCATCAGCGTTTCAGCATCATACTGCATCTGCAACCCACTTCCTGGTCCCTAATCTATCTTTTTCACACCCCACCACCCATTATTTAAACTGCAACCCGCTGGAACTAGAAATGCTACAAATTCCACTGCTAACTCACTTGGAGGAATAAATATTAGGCGCATCAATTACGTGTGATTTTCTTATGTTTATGCAAATAGAAAATATTAAGCTCATGAAGTTACAGTTATTCCTTGGAAAAGCTTTTCCTTTTGAGTGAGTAGTTTAAAATTATTTTCTGGTTCTCCCCAAATAGGGAAATTTCTTAATTATTATTAGTTTATTAATACTAGCATTACTCTATCATGATAGTAGAATTCGAGTTTTCAGCTACAGTACCTCCATACCACACCTTAATGTTACACTACTTTTTGCCGACTGTCCCTTTGAGATTCACCTTTTTCTTGTTTACTCTTTTAAAAAACCAATCGGACACTATGAGTAGTAGATAATGGAACAAAGCACAATGTAGTTAGTTGCAAACTCAATTTTCTCACGAACTGTTGTTTGGTAAGTGGTTAATATCGTTTGCTTTCAACGCGTGCCTCTCACAAGTCAATTTATATTCATTACAACTTAGAAGGCATGCCATAAGTAGATTTTATGCCATATTTGCAAGGTATGTGTAACTTTTGTGTTCATTTATTTCTTTGGCTGCATTTTAAGGGAAGTAAAAATTGAATATTATAGTACTTTGAAAACGATATATTTTTCGGTTTGTTTTCATATTTGAGAATAATAACTATCCGGCATGTAATACGTTGATAATCTGTGTTTCTTTTGTTTTAATAAGAATAAAGTTAAAATCAGATTAGTAACGGTTGTATTTTGTTGTTTGTAATATTTTATTATTAAAAATTGGTTGAAACAAAGCTACAAGTCTCATCTTTTGTAGACCATAAGTATTGTATATTTGAGACAAATTTATTTGAGTTAAGATAGATTATTGTAGGTGACAAAACTTTTCATTTGAGTATTTAACATAATGATATTTATTGAAATTTAAAATCACATATTAAAAAAATGTTACGGTTTCCTGAAAAAAAATTAGAAATTAAAAAAGTGAAGCATTTTGTTGTGGGCTTGGTTCCAAATCCCTTGAAGTTCTGAACTGTAGTAAAAAATTACCGTCAATTACAACTTCATAGTTAACATTTTCTTCTTATGAATAATAATTTAGTGAAGAAGCAATTACCCCATACCAAGACATTTTAGATTGGTTTCTTTTGGATTTTAATAAAATTAATTTAAAATTTTGATGGAGAAAGAATCCAAGTGAAAAAAACTAGATGTATTTTAAAATTATATTTTAAAAGAGGGTTAGAAAATAAATAAAATATTTTTCAAAAAATATAATTAAAAAAACTTTGGCCAGGGTTCCAAAGTTCAAGCACATTTGTTTTAAATTTTAGCATATTTAAATATAATAAAATTTACTTTTAACCACTGAATGTAATTAAAATATGTATTCAAAATATTTTTAATCATCAATTGTACATTAAAATATGCGGTGTGATCTGTAAAATTAATTATGAGCGCTAGTCAAACAAGCACTTCACCCAACAAAGTAAAAGAAAAGAAAAGAAAATATATTATTATTAGAAGTGAATTAGAATAAATATTTATTTCCGTAAAGCTACGAAATTGTCCAATTGATAGAGTTTATTTTGTTTGCTAGAGTTGCATTAGCCAGACACAATGCAAACAATTTGACTCATATATTAAATCTTCCAAACAGGCATTCATTAGTACTTAATGAACGTAATCTATTTCAAAAAATAAATAATTTCTTTTATAATATCTTTTAAATAATTATGTTAGCTATTAAAATAAAAGAAATTAAATACTTTTGAATTTTCAATCAATTTTATCTTAATTTAATTTTTTTTATCGTCACTAGAGAATACTGTGTATATATATATATATATATATATATATATATATATATATATATATTATTGTTTGCAATTTTTGTTGTGAAAAGTATCCTTCAATCTTCTTTTCAGATCCGCTCCACCTCACTCACTATCTGTCTATCATGAAATGGATCTACCTTTTTTTTTTATGGACTATATGTTTCAATTCAGCTCGTTTAAGGGTGGAGTGAAAGGTTAGCCCATCAAAATAAAAATAAGTTAGTGGACCAGCGAGCCATTTTGTCCAAATATAATATGAAAATAGAAAAAATTATAAAATAATAAAAAATAATAAAAAAAAACAGATAATATTTTTATATTAATAAAAAAAATATTTAACCAATAAACAATTATATATGTATAAAAAATTAAATGGTAAATGGACCAGCATGCTTTAGCCCATCATTATTGACCCACATTTTGAGAGGTTAAATGAGCCGATAGGTAAAAAACCTCCCAAGACCAGGCCCATTTTTTAGAGCTCGCATTTTCACGAGATTACTCTGTTCTCACCTCGAAATGGAAACTTGCCTGTTATCCTCCATATGTTCTAAACTTGCTTGTGTATCTGCTTTTCATTAATTCTTACATCAACACCAGGATATGAAACATTTCTAAATACTCAATTAATATTATTTCCGTTGAAGTCACTGTGTTCAATCAAGGCTTTGTTTGGGATTGTTCTTTATTCCCTTTTTACTTTGCACTCTCCTTTATGACGATATAAAATCTTATATAGGAATAAAAAAAAATCTCATCAATAGTAAGGTTTTAAAGGATAAATACAATGAAGGCGTTTGAGTAAACTCTCAAATTGGTACTCAAGATGTAAACTAAAGATATAAAACCAACCAAGTTCAATTTTATTAAATTCAGAACAATAGTCGAAAAAGGGAAACTTCAAATTAAGAACTCCAAATAGAAACAAATGGAATTCATGTTTCCTCTTTGCAAGTTTGTTTCCTGCTTGTTAATTCGAATTTGCAAAACCATTTATTGCACTTGTCTTCAGATAAAGGGTTTGATTTTTTTAATAATGAAAAGAATGAAAAAGATCTGAAAGAAGTAATCAAGGATAAGCGTATTCGTTATTAGAAGTTCTGAAGCCCTTTAGAATTTTATCAGGGGTCTTCTGTGCTGAATTACATCTCCAAAAACAGTTCAGTGATTACAAGTTCTATAGCCTTCGGAAGAAAGAAAAAGGAATGAAAAATATAAAATTCTTAAACTAGGAAATTTAAAAACATATAATTAGTAAGTTTATAAACCCTCATTCTTTTATATAAAATATCTCAAATAAAAAATTACATTTATAAATTATTTTTTTCTTCCCAAACATATAAGCTGGTAACGCTAAAATATAAAGAGTGTGTTGCTAACCTTCTTATTATTTGCATCAAAGAAGATGAATCTTTCTTCTTTAAAATTATATTTTTATAATAAAAATATTAAAAAAAATAAATGTTTGGGAAAAAGAAACCGAGTGGACTTAGAAAACATGAAGATTCAGCCTTAAACGACTCATGGAACTGGGTACCTGGCTGGGATTTCTTTTGTCGTTTTTTAGATTCCTTGGAAATTCTCACTTACCTTGTTTTCTTTTCTCTCATATCTACTTTCCTAGATGGAGGCTAGGAATTTTTCAAAAAATTTTCCTTTTATGATTTAGACTAAACAAAGCATGCGTATTGCATAAGAAATGAAAAAAGAATGGAGAAGATGGAAAGTGCCTCAGAAACCCTTTTATCATATTTTTAATTTTACTTCGCATCTATTCTATATTCTTTCTTTTAAGGTGAGTTTTCTATTCCTCTTTCGATGAGTTTTATTTATTGATTTAGCCTGAAGCTATGTATTTCTCTCCTCCTTTCTTTTTTTGAGAAATTCCTTAAACCTACATATAACTAGTCACGAAAACATATTGTGTATATTTGTAATATTAATTTATATAACGAGAACCTACATGACCACAGGAAAACTATTTGTTCATTTCATAGTTTTTATGCTACAATATGCACTTTAGTTTTGAGAATTTTTAAGTTACACTTTAAGTATATTACATATTTCTTGTTTAATCACATTATCTGTTATATTTCTCATTGATTTTTTTCTTCTTCCACTATTATCCTTTTTTTTAATACCCATCTCGCATTTGAAGGTCGAGAGAACATCATTATTCTTACACATTAAAGAAGATATGTCATCGAGTCTTTCGTTATATGATTACCACTTTACCAGCTTATAAATAGATGAAATTCGATCTTAAGATTGAACAGTTATTCTGTCTTTATCATATGACCTATTTTTTTCTCGTGGCAATCAATTCTATTATTTTGGCTTTGCATAAAGAACCTGGAAGACTTCTGTCTTTATCATATGGCCTATTCTTCTTGTATCTACTTATGTTAGGAGAAACTATTTCAGACCTCATTGTAAAAGACTAAAATATGTTTCCCTATATGACATAAAGATTGAATTTGGCTTTCTGTTGAGAATTTTTAAATCATAGATTAGATAAAGAGAAATACTAATGGGTGCTTACATTTATAATATATAATTAATTTAAGCCAATACTGGTGCGTAGCTAGCAATAAGCTTGCGATCAAGCTCAAGCATATATTAATTGTTTGTTAAATTTTTAGGTTGTAATATCTTTATTTA